GATTTTTTAGATGTTCGAATTTTACATTTTATCGTACTTTCCTGCACGATTTAAAATTAGTATATATATATATATTATAATTGTTATTTTTCACCTACGAGAATATGACGCGTGTATTAATAACCAGTACATACACATTTCTTGCTGTGATGGCCAAAGTTGTATCTTCTTGTTGTAGTCTTTTTTGGCGGTTTGGTATGATTTTTGGGAGGAATTTAAATTGATTTGTTTAAATTCGAATTTGACTCAAAGATGTCCAAACTCATGTTTAGTATGCGCAGGGATATATGATTATTATGATAATATATTTATATATAAATAACTATTGTGCTCCTTAATCAATTTGTATATATGGGGTATATAAAATATATAGGGGTATAATTGTTATTTATATGTTCAACTCATTAACCAATATATGAAACCCACCCCCTTTGAATTTTTATGAAACTCAAGTATATGAATTTTATGATGGAACTGAATTTCAAATCTTACATTAAATGCATAACTATCAAACATAAGTTTAAGGGAATATAATCCCCAACCTAGGATCCAAACCCCTCCCCAAAAATAAAAAAATTCACGTACCAAACATGCCCGAACAGTAGGAGACTTGTTGCTTAGGATTTCGGAAGCAAGCAACCAACTCGATAGATGTAGATTGAAACTTTCCGGGGAGGAAATCAGGCCTTGACCATTGAGTACATATTAAAGAAACGATGTGAAATGTGACTAATGGGTGGGTGGGTGATGGGTAGGTGTATTTACTATATATTAATGTGTCAACATGACAATTGCGTATGATTCTATTGAATTATTGCTTCCTATTGGTTGACATAGTGTAAACATGAACTTGTTTACTTATTTATTATTTTTTTGGTTTAACCGTCGTGGTTGTTTAAATCAACTTGGACAACACTTAGATCACTATTTGATAAAATATAATAAAAATTGATATTTTATTTTTGTAATACTATTTAAACGTGTTAATTATGTCATTTTCATAATATTCGTATTAACGGGTCGTGTTATATACATATTCACGTCAAAAAATAATCAACTCTAACCTGCTAATTTTATGTCAATTTTGAATCGTGTTTGATCTGATCTAGATTTTTTTTTTTTATCTAAATCTAATTTGATATTCAGAGATTTTATTTTCACAGTATACTTCTGAATCTAAATATTAATGTCCATCCAAATAAATTAATTACAATATTAAGTAAACTGACATCCTTACCGTAATAAACAGCCAGCTGGTAAAGGAGAGGAACTGGAAAGATTGACCAGGTCTATCTACCTTTGAACGAATAACGGCAAAAAGGCAAATGTGTTCACAAGAACTACCATGCAAAACGTTGATTACAAATTGGGGAATTCTTTTATCTCTTTTATCACGTGAATTGTACTCACTTTTATAAATTTTCTCTTAATTCTCGTAATAATAAATCACTCGGCGCATATTAGTAGGTTTTGTTTCAAAATAAGGTAGATAATTTATGATTGAAAAAAAATTTAAATAAAATATGTTAGAAAATATTGGATCCCTTTTTGATTTTGAAGTTGAGGATATCACCCTGGACAACACGTACAATTTAACTTCAATCAACAAAGTATTGATCTCGATTATTTGAGATCGTCTATATGAATCTTGTTTTTCCATTATAATCAAATGTCATTAGAACTTAGGAGGTTATCTGGCATGGTCCCTTGTGGGTGAGTACCTATTCATTTTTTAAACTTGTGGTAAATTTATATTTTTGAAGAAAGAAGTTGCAATTATTCAAACAAAATTCATAATCAAATGAAGAAATCTTAATTTAAAAAAAAAAGGGATAAAAAGTTTGATTTGGTATAAACTTCTCCAATAAAGAAATCTCAATTTAAAATAAGAGAAATTCAAATTTAAATGAGGACAAACCAAAATTTGAAAGAGGGTAAAATCTCACAATTAAAGATTTGGGTACGGAGTTAAGTAAAAAATTGAGTCTTTCTTCATTTGATATGGGTGTGGATCTAATATTGGAGAAGGTTTTAAGGATTTTAGCCAAATTTAAATTTGGGTGAAAAATCCTTAAAATCCTTCTTTAATCCTATACCAAAATCCATACTAAATCAAGGCAGACTCAAACCTTTACCTAAATCTCTAATAGTTAGATTTAATTCTCCTATAAAGATATAATGATCACATTCTTTCTTTAAATTTGAATTTCTTCATTGGAGTGCTTTCTAACAAATTAAGATTTCGACTCAAATATAAACTCATATTTGAGTCAATGATAGAGATGCTCTAATACTAATTCAATACCACGTGAAAAGGGTATTTTAGGCATTATGCTTTTGGTTGTGGATTAGGGATAGCAATCATGTTGGTTTTTAGGAAGTTCGTATCTAAAACTACTTAACCCGTGTATGACTCATTTATTAAATAGATATAAATTATAAAATTCAAATATGATCCATTTATTAAACTAGTTACACGACGCGACTTATGTTACCCATTTATTTTACAACAAAAAAAAAATCTTAATTTTGTAACAAATTGGGTTATATATTAAAATATTAATTAGGTGATAAATAGATAATTGAGCAATCGTATGATAACCAAGTAATCGAGTATTCAAATAATATATCAATTTATTAAGCGGCAATGAGATGATAAATAGGTTAAACTATTACATCCAAATACGATTTTTTTATTATGCGGGTTAGATCGGTATATTCGTTTAACACTCAAATACGTTAAAGATCAAACCCAAATCTACTAATTTCGTATCAAATAAACCGATTGTGTTGGATTTTGTCAAGCCTACTGTGGCCTAAAGGTTTGAATCACGGTGGAGGGAAGCCATTCTTTTAGCNTGAAACTCAAGTATATGAATTTTATGATGGAACTGAATTTCAAATCTTACATTAAATGCATAACTATCAAACATAAGTTTAAGGGAATATAATCCCCAACCTAGGATCCAAACCCCTCCCCAAAAATAAAAAAATTCACGTACCAAACATGCCCGAACAGTAGGAGACTTGTTGCTTAGGATTTCGGAAGCAAGCAACCAACTCGATAGATGTAGATTGAAACTTTCCGGGGAGGAAATCAGGCNTTTCCCTTGGCAGACAAATGAAATCTTCTCAACCCAATCCTGAAACTGAGTGAGAATAATTTCATATTTCAAGGGGTTCAAAGTTCAAAATTGAAGTATAAATAACTGGAATACATTACATTATCACATATTCTACAATTTTTTTCTACTCTCTCTCTCTCTCTCTCTCTCTCTAGATTGTAAGATGTTGACTTATGTATTGTTGAAAAAAATTGGATGCAAATAAAGAGAACAGTAAGGTAAGGCGCGGATTAGGTCGCTCTCTTAAGAAAATTCGCGCCCCTTTATAAAAGGATCACAACGTAGAAGGTAGTAGCGCGTCGTCCCCAAGATACAACAGCCCAGCCTATTGATTGTTGCTTCACTCAGATCTACACAATCGAATAAAACAGAAGCTTCACACACATCTTTAAATATTGCCCAAAANTACAACAGTTCAGCCTATTGATTGTTGCTTCACTCAGATCTACACAATCGAATTAAACAGAAGCTTCACACACACCCTTGAATATTGCCCAGAAACTTATGCAATAAAAAGATAGTTGATATCAGTTGTATATCTATATATATATCATATATATGTTTAATAGTCTGTAATTACTTTTATACTTAATTGGATAATAACTCAAAATATGACTGTTGGAATACTAGCCGTTGGAGATTTTTGGTGGTATTCAGCAATTGAAATTTTATTATAGAAGTAATAACAAAAAATAATTAAACAAAATATTAAAAAGTAGGTTTAATCCGTATCTCCTTCGCTAGTCCCACCCCTACGCACGTGAGAGCCCCAAGATCTCTCTTTGATTCAAATGTTAAATAACATTAGTACATATATATACTCAAGTATCTTAAGATATTTAATCGATGTGGGATTGAGATTCCACATAAAAAATACTCTTTTAGTTAAAATATTCTAACACGTATGAAGGCCAATGAATTGTTGAGAAGTGTAGAAATTTGAAGTCATTTTGGAGGGAACCAACTTCTGCTGACCCAAATAAGCCCACTCCAACCTTCCAAGTTTGCTATGGGTTAATGCATTCACATTATTTCTTTGTTGCCCTTTGTCTTTTATTTTTTCAAGTTTTTTAGTTGGTTTAACTTTAATTGAATTACAATTAGTTGTTGACTTGACAAAGATGAGATTACTAAAAAGTAGAGTGAGAATCACTTCTCATCACTTACAATTATGCTTGAAAATTGCAGTATCAAGTATTAATTCGAAAAACTTGGTCACAGCGTTGTAGTGCGGTATCGGACGATATAACCTATAAAAACGAAAATTTTAAATCATATCGCGTTGTTGTGGCCCCGTATTAGACAATTCGGTGATGACAACTCAACGACTCGAGATCAACTCAGATACAACTCGGTCAACTTAGCTGAGTCATGCCAAACTCAAAATTTATACGCTTCTTGTAATGGTATCATCTTTGTGTACGCTTTCTTTCCACTCCAGATTATGTACTTTTGCTATTGCAAATTCATTATCCAATTCAGTCTATGTTAAAACAAGAATGCTAAGAGGAATTGATCAGATATAAACCTAAACTTTGACATTTTTCGCATAAAATGTCTGCCATCAAATTCAAAGCTACAAGCTCAGGGTTGTAGGTATTTGCTTAACAATTGTATCAGGCAATGGTACTGAATTGANTTGACATTTTTCGCATAAAATGACTGCCATCAAATTCAAAGCTACAAGCTCAGGGTTGTAGGTATTTGCTTAACAATTGTATCAGGCAATGGCACTGAATTCAGTGCTATTAACACATCAATAAGTGTTGAGAAAACAAGATTTACAAGCAAATTGATGAAATTCCAGAGGTACCCAACTTCAATTATATTCCTCACTTTATATAAAATCTCTCAAAGAAGAACAATCCATTTAGTGTGCAATCTTATCTGTCTATAAAGGTCCACCATACAACTGAAAATCTGAATATTAAGGCACATATGTTCAAAATATAGGTGAATGAAAGGGTAAACCTCGCCTGCGTTCCTTTGATGATGCTTCGATAATCTGAAGCCAGCTTGCCCCACCATGACTTTGTGCTATGTACACAATTTTCAGGGCCAAAGGGAAAAAAAAGGGCCACCTTTTCGATTCAAATACTTGCCAGTTTGCTTGGCATCTTTGACAGTGTATGTCTTTCGCTCCAGTTGAATAAATGATAAATAGATTGATTGATTGTATGTATCTTGTTGAAGAAATAGTGTGACTTACAAAGCAGGCACTTGTGGTGTTTGGTTCTTTTAGGTTGAGCTTGAGGATGTGTTGGAGTTGGAGTTGTGGGCAGAATTGGGCAATGCATTATGTTGATGGGAAGGCCAAGGCATGCGTTCTGGAGGGCAAGGCACGGGAGCTGGGTGGGCGATGAAGGTAGGGATGTCCTCTCCAGGCATCAACACTGAAACTTCTCTGGCATTCACGGTAATCTGAAGGAATAGATAGATATGTTTATTAGAACTTGTAAAGCATAATATTGGAGTTTGGATTACACAGAGCATAAAATTCAGAAGTTTGTTATAAATAAAGGTACTTGAATAAAAGTTACAGCTTATAAGAAATTTATTTAACACAGATCAAGTAGACATGCTAACAGAGACCACCCCAATGGGAAGAAATTGAAAACTATGCAGCTATTGTTTTATAATAAAGCAGAAATCAAAAAACATTAACCTATTCATATGGGTCAACTTTATGAAACTCAGCCAAAAAGATACAACAATGTCAAATGCAGAGGAGATCAAGTCCTCTATAATGCTTTGCTCCCTGAAAAGACAAGCCTTATTTCTGTGGTGATCATTGTACATTGCATACAATGTGTTGCATGCAGCGAAGGCTAACTATATTATTGGACAAGCTTAAAACTACAACTAAAATAACTACCGAAAGACTATTGAAGGAGTTGATGAGGAAATTGATAACAAAAATAGCATCCACGTTAACAAATTCAACAGGAGGTATTGAATAATAAAAATTGTCACAAAATCATGAGTGAAGAGAAGAAACAGAGAAGCCGATCTAAGGTTGCCAAGCCCTGACTCAACCTCAATAAAATCTATATTAGGTTAAGTCACAAACGAGGGCNCACAAAATCATGAGTGAAGAGAAGAAACAGAGAAGCCGATCTAAGGTTGCCAAGCCCTGACTCAACCTCAATAAAATCTATATTAGGTTAAGTCACCACTCCCAAAACGAGGTCAGCAAAAATTCCAAAAAAAATCCATGTTATTGAATCAGTCACTTGTGGAACATTTCCATTCACTTAAAGAGTAAAAAATTGTAAAAATAAAACTCGATGTTTTGTAAGTTAAAGCATATCAAAGACCAATACTACATGTACCCAGCCTAATGCATCATGTAAAAATGATCATCAAGATCAAAAACCACAAAGTAAATAGAAAAGCATAATGGCAAGAAATATGGGGCTGAAAGGGAAAAAAAATTTCCCTGGGAAGTATCAGTCCCATCGGATAAGTGCAGGGGCGGAGCTAGACTTTTCATGTAGAGGGGGCAATCTAAAATCATAATATTGACTTTATTTTTGCAAACACAATAACTAACAATAATTTTACAGGTCTAATTTCATTAAAAGAACAACAATTAGAGGCGAATTTCATATAACACAAGCAATATACAAGAAATGCGTCAAACAAAAACTTATTATAAAAATATCCACAAGCGCCAAGATTCAAGACTGTTTGAATAAACTACCTCCATAAGATCGAACTCCTTTATGTCATTTTTACCATCCAATTTTCAAGAATGTTAATTTTTTCAACGAAATTGATACACAACCAATTAGTTGATCTTTTAATTCAAATTCAATAATCAAAACTTTATTATCTGTTATAGCAAAAGAAAATGGGCAACAATAACCAAAGCCCTACTAACTGTGTACTAATTGAAAAAATAACAAAAGTTATCAAAATCGAAAAATGTCGATGAAATTCGATAAATGCCGCTCCAATAAAATCTCCTAATATCTCATTTCCATTAAAGTTATTCACTTAATTGATTGGATAAATGTCGATGAAATTCAAAAATGAAGTCCAAAAGGTTGAAGAGTAGGAAGACAAAAAAGAGATAAGAAGAGAAATGGAATACCCAAGAGAAAAAAAATCAAAGTAATTCAAATTTATAACGTACCGTGTATAACGTATGTTTACCAAGTTTAGGTGATATTTATTTAGGGTTAGTGTCGAATTATTTATTTGAAGGGTATAATAAATCACTTATTTATCGCTCAATTTTGCTAAGGCTAAACCTCCATTAATTCTATGTTGATTTCGTAGGTCATATTNAGTTATCAAAATCGAAAAATGTCGATGAAATTCGATAAATGCCGCTCCAATAAAATCTCCTAATATCTCATTTCCATTAAAGTTATTCACTTAATTGATTGGATAAATGTCGATGAAATTCAAAAATGAAGTCCAAAAGGTTGAAGAGTAGGAAGACAAAAAAGAGATAAGAAGAGAAATGGAATACCCAAGAGAAAAAAAATCAAAGTAATTCAAATTTATAACGTACCGTGTATAACGTATGTTTACCAAGTTCAGGTGATATTTATTTAGGGTTAGTGTCGAATTATTTATTTGAAGGGTATAATAAATCACTTATTTATCGCTCAATTTTGCTAAGGCTAAACCTCCATTAATTCTATGTTGATTTCGTAGGTTAGAATTGTGAGGATTAAAAGTAATTTCTCAAATTGATGAAGTCGTGAAGAAAGGGCAGACTGGGAGTCGAAGTTCGAACAAAGAGTCGAAGAAGAAGGGTGTTAAAAATAAGGTTCCCAAGGTTATGTTTTGATGGTTTTAAAATTATACTCACACACACCATACTATGAAAATTTCAGTGGGGGCAAACTTAAGAAATTTTTGAAATTTTACCTAGGTCCCAATTTTTTTTAAAATTCTAGTGGGGGCAGCTGCCCCCACTGGGTAAGTGTGTTGCTTCAACAGCTAGATAAATTTACAGCTTATGGTGCTTTAGATGCCCTAATTGATTCATAATCTTGTGTGACCTATATAGTTCTCCAAAATATAGCCGCAAAATACAGACACTGATCTCTTGATTCGCAAATGCCATCAACTTTAATTTCTAATTTCATTTCATTTCATTTTTTGGGCTAATGAATCAATTTAAAGTCATATTCAACAAATTATGTAGTGAATGATTAGTGACGATCCTCTTTGTATAGGACACAGAACAGCAACATTAATACAACAGATGACAGTATTTGACATGGCATAATCTGCTTTTCTTATTCTTTTCTGCCGAAAAGATAACAATATCTTGACTAAGTGACGGAACAAAAGTTGACTTTTTCTTATCTTATATATTAGTTGGTGAGATATAGGATGATTATTTATGATATAAATACAAACATTGCAATAGTGCTAGCCAATGCAAAAATTGTCCTCGTCCCCTCAAATAAGGGAAATGGTTATGAACTGTTGACATCACCCACATGAGGCTGTTTTTTGCTGATAAAATAGGCATAGCTTGTTAAATTATTAAGCTTCTTTATAGAGGTTTTTGGGCTAGAGACTATCAGGAAATTTGTAGTTAATGTTGATATTAACTCATATAACATACCAAATATGCACTCGCACGCAATCATACGGAAATTCTAGGATGACCATAGGGGACAGACATTCAATTGGATGGCCTGGTTACACTGTGAACGACAAGTGTTTCATCATTTTAATATCTCCTCAAGGTAGTTTAATTTTCAAAAATCAATCCTTTTTAGGTTTCCTCGCAAAGACCGAACTACCAAGTGGGTCATAAAGACTAAAACCTCCTTTGGGGGTTGTTGCACTTCATCAGGAGTTTAAATTGAAAAGCAAGGTCAGAATGGTTGGTGACCCATTTGTATTTTAAGAAGTTTCAGAGTACTGGGTAACTAGTAAAGCAATGTCCCTCATATTATTGTCACTATCCCTTGAATGAATAATGTCTTGTGTTTTAACCCTTGACTACACACTTGTATGAGGCTGTCTAGCGTGATGTGCCCTACACTTCATCCCTTTGTCAAAAGATAAAATATTTTTTACACTCTTATGATTTAAACCAGTGATGTTTACCATCCTATATTTAACGAACCTATACTTTATCCCTTTGAAACTTAGTTCCAGAGAATAACAACTGATGGGGTTACCAAGTTAGTACAAAAATAAAATAACGCCCTTTGTGCTATAAATTTTATAGGTTTACAAATTGGAAAATGCTTCAAATGCCAAGTAAAAGGGACGCAAATATGGGGTTTTTAGTGAGAAAGAAAAGAAGAGATATATCATGTTTACGACTATTAAAGTCATTTTAACATGGCATCTTATTCATAATTCTGACTTTTGATTTTGACAATCAATTTTGACAGAAATTCTAACGTGACGTTTTGATCCGAAACCATAAGATGACAAGAGTGTCAAGTGTAGGTGTTCAAATTGTAGGGAGGTAAGGTATAACTAGTTTAAACCACATTCGAGGAAAAAATATTAGTTTACTTAAATTGAAATAGCTACATAGTAAACCATCCTATACATTCCCGTATGCACCTCATCAAAAACTTCAAAATAATTAATCCCTAGATATAAATTTCATCCCCATCAAACAACAAACTAATATTTATCTAGACATAGATTAAAAAAATTACACATAACAGGTCACACAAACTCACATAGATAAGTCAATGGTGATGTTAGTTTAATAGAGCTAGTTGGATACATTTAAAGCTGCAAAGAAAACAATAAACTAAGTCTTGCCAACAAAGAAATTTAAAGGTCTCATGTCTCCGACCTTTGTGCTTGCTGTGGGGGGTATCATAAAGGTCACTAGTGATGGGCCAAATGGTTACAATGTACAGTGGTGGGGTTCTAGAATGAAAGAACTACATGTCGGCATATAGTCCCTCAAGCATTCAAATGGGACCAATAAAACAGCTAGTTGGTTCTTGGACAGGCCATTGGACAAATATCATAATCAAGGAGACACTGTCCTTTGATAATACATCGAAATTTTAGGGAACATGCACATGCTTGTATTATAATAAATTCTTGACTAGTTAATGCCATGCTCTGTTTTTATCAAAATTTTCTTTTATTAATTCACCCAATGTTTATAACAAAGTTAAAGATTTAGGCCACAGAGGTAGTGGAACCGATTCCTAAAGTTTTGTGGAAGCCTATAGGCTACAAAAGCCATTTGCACACTTACACACATATGCATAGTAATGTCGGACCGATCAAAATTAGATCAAAAACAAGGACCAAATAATAGGCGCTGCCACGCTGATATGAAGGTGCTTTTGGTCCCAATTTAATTGTGTAAAAATGCAAATGTTAATGCACCTATTTAGCGCCACATTATTTGGTACTTGTCTTTGGTCAATGTAGTATTATCCATTATATTGACTCAGTCTAACTTGTAGCACCATGGAAATAACAAAAATTTAGGAAACAACAATTTCATTTAGATTGTGCAAATAGTAAGCTTCATTTCAGTTAAGCACAGTTTTTTGTTCACCAAAAAGAGGGAAAAATCTTAAGCTTCTCCACAAGCACAACCCCCCCCCCTCCCCCCAACACACCCACCCATAGACGGAGAAAGAGTATAACAATAACTAAATAGACATATTATGGGTCCAACCAGTCCTAGTTCTAGTAGAGAGGGCCATAAATTTGTTAGGTTTCTTGGTGATATTTCATAGAAGGACCATAAAACTAAGCTAAGGCTCCAGTAAGGCCTAAGGAATGTTCGAAGTCCCCAGTTACAACTGACACCAAATTATAAAGAAATATAAACACAATATCATTAAACTTCATATAAATACACACACACACACACACATAGGAGGAACCTAGGAAAGCAGAAATTCTATGTCAGAACAACAATAATCACTACCTACAAATATCAAAAGTATCATCCAAACGCCAAACAAGAACAGATAAGAGAGATAAAGAAAGCAAGCAACAAAATTTTAGCTATAAACATTCAAAACCACAAGACCATAACAAACTTCACACCCTTGTATGGTATAAAAACTCAGAAATCACACATTCTAATTACATTATGAATGCATTTTACTCACTTTTGGTGATGGGTGACCAAGCTTTGGACTGAAACCCATCTGAGACTCAATGTCTCCAAACCTCCGGCCAGCCGGCGGGGTCAAAGCCGGCGAGGTGGGTCTGAGAAATCTTTCAAAAATGGCCATGACAAGGAACATTGAGATGAGAATGGCAGTGGCAACAAACCCAAAAGAAACTGCATTGACCGAGTTATCAAAGTGCCTCCAATGATCTTCTGCTTGTATATTAAACGGAGCCCCAGTTGGTGACCAACCCCATCCATCTTTATCTCCCATTTTCACCTCCAAATTTAACAACATTTCACAAACATGATGAGTTGAAAAAGACCCAGAAAGCAAAGAACAAGCAAGACAGTTAATGGCAGTTTAGAGAGAGAGATAGAGTTTGTGAAGGAAGGCTTCACAATCTTTTACGCCATTATCAAAGCAACAGAGTACTTAAAACCTGGTGTGTGGAGAGAGAGAGCATGTGGAGGCACTTTGCAGACAGGAAGCCGGAGGTTGAAAAAGAGAACCTTTGGGATTTGGATAGCTTTGTCCTCTTCTTTTTACCTCTTCTAAGTTTTAACACACAAGTCGGAAATAGCATCTGCAAATTTGTACAGCAGAAAATGGACCTCTCAGTACATAATACCCAAGAAATTGGACCTATTTCAGGGGTCCAGTTATCATCATAATATTCGTAAAAGATAAAATGCATATTCAGATCACCAAGAATTTAATTTTACACAGAAAAAATAAATATCACATTTATAAACAAGACATTCGGATATAAAGTTGATATAGATTAAAGTTAACAAACTCTATTTAGAAATTATTCAAATTAAAATTTACAATTATTATCAATTACGAGAGTCAGGTATAGATTCATTCACATTGAACCTCGTTGTAGAAAGTTAAGGTTAAAATTAGAATAATTGAGATTAAAATCTTCAAACTTAGGAGAATTGATATTGTAGACTCAGATTAAATTTGAACTAATTNGTTAAGGTTAAAATTAGAATAATTGAGATTAAAATCTTCAAACTTAGGAGAATTGATATTGTAGACTCATTAAATTCGAACTAACTTATTTTCCTCTTGTAGAGGTGGAAGAGAGTGTTTGATGATGTTATAAACTCATATCACCATCATTCTCACCACCACCATTGGATAGATAAATAAGAAATATAGATCTACCTATTAATAATTTTCATGTGAAATATGTGGGAGTAGATGTGTACACCTGTATGTAGGTGTTGGTGTGTGCAGGCTTCTTTGTCTTTGTATGTGTGGGTCATTTTGTGTGCCTATGGGCGTGCATGGGAATGTAAGTAAATGTGAAAAAAAGAAAAAAAATCATGAACGAGAGAGAATAAAAATAATTGTCTTATTTTATTGAAACTTAATTTACTATAATTATTAGATTGATTGTGGGTCCATCAAATATTAAAACTTAATGTTAATCCANTTTGTCTTTGTATGTGTGGGTCATTTTGTGTGCCTATGGGCGTGCATGGGAATGTAAGTAAATGTGAAAAAAAGAAAAAAAAATCATGAACGAGAGAGAATAAAAATAATTGTCTTATTTTATTAAAACTTAATTTATTAACATAATTTACTATAATTATTAGATTGATTGTGGGTCCATCAAATATTAAAACTTAATGTTAATCCAATAATTTCAATAAAATTACAATGACATTACGTTATTTTGACAAATAAATTATGTCAAATTTTTAAGTTTAAATAATATTACTCTTAAAGTTATTTTGTCAATAGGATTGCATGTATCTTACGAGAGAGGATTCGTGTTTTTATTTTTATGAACACACAAAAGGAGGTTGACGGTGTATTTGGTTTGTAATGCATAAGGATAAAATGCTAAAAGAATTAAAAGTAATGTTATAAAGACTTAATTTAGGAATTTAATCAGATANTTATGTCAAATTTTTAAGTTTAAATAATATTACTCTTAAAGTTATTTTGTCAATAGAATTGCATGTATCTTACGAGAGAGGATTCGTGTTTTTTTTTTTATGAACACACAAAAGGAGGTTGACGGTGTATTTGGTTTGTAATGCTAAAAGAATTAAAAGTAATGTTATAAAGACTTAATTTAGGAATTTAATCAGATATTCAATTCAATGTAGTCATTGAATTAATTATAAATTTCAATGTTAAATAAAGTTCACTTTCTATCCAATAGTTTGTATTATAATAGGTCACTAGATAAATTCCTAAATTAAGTTTAAATAACATTTTTCAAGAATTAATGACACAAATGTCTTTTGACCTTCTTAAGACAGAGTGTGAGTATAATTTCAGAATTCATAAGATATCATTTGCAATCTCATTAATTTTTCAAAATTGAATAAGGGCTCACATCAAGTAGGGACTTGAGACACTAGTTCAACTAAATTGAGTTGTTTTAACTTTGATCACCCTTAGTTTCGTACTCGAATGTCACATTCGTAAATGTAATAAATGTTTTTATACATAATTTTATTTTTTACGTACTAATTATAATGTTTCATCCTCTATAAATGTTCATTTTTAGTATTTGTCACCTCTTTCAGATTATAACACTTTACCACACTAGTGTAATTAAATTCAAATTTCTAAATTTGAAGAGATGATTATGGCTAATATGAATATTAGACCCCAGAAAAAATAATTATAATAAGTGAAAATTTCAACCACATCCATTCTAGATTGTTATATCTTCAAAAACGCTCCTCTATTATTAAAAACATTATTGACATCCTCTGTTATTAAACCATCATTTCTAACAAAAAAAATATCAAAAATACTAAAAAATATCTCTACATAAAATTCGATTAAAATTTATTTTTCTACATATTAAAATTAGAGTTGATTAAAATTTATTTTTTTACATATTAAAATTTGAGCCGATTAAAATTCGATTCGAACTGATTAAAATTTTACTTTTTTTGTATTATAATTTGTGCCTATTAAAATTTATTTTTTACATATTAAAATTAGAGTTGATTTAAGCTCTACTCGAATTATTAGCGCCGATTAAAATTCACTTCGAGTTGATTAAATTTTATATTTTTTTACTTATTAAAATTCATGTCAATTAAGATTCGATTTATTAAAATTTATATATTTTTATGCATTAAAATTTAGACAGATTAAAATTCGACGCTCAAATTTTATTACTTAAACAAAATATAGTTTTTAATCGATTCGAGTTTTAATACCTAAAAAATAAATTTTAATTAGCTCGAATCAAATTTTAATACGTAAAAAATTTTAAAAAAGAGAGGGGATCTCATTGAAGATATGTTTATTTAGTGGAGGTGTGGAAAAAGTTTGTCCTCAAATATATTATAGACAATTTAGTAAAATTGCATTATAGTTAATATTTTTAATCTGATAGAGGGTGTTAATGAAGATTCAGAAAATGAGAGAATATTTTTGAAGATATGATAAAGTAGAGGTGGTGTAGTTGAAATTTTCTCTTATAATAATTAATTCCAAGTTTTAACTTTTTCCACAAATGATAGAAATAGTTGTTATTCTACGGGCCCTGCCAGCCACAAGACTATAGCTTTCCAAATTTCCAAATTTCACTATTGGGCCCACCAGCCCACAATAACTCCTCCAAGTGAGGCCAGGGTCACATAGAAGTCTTAATACCCAACTTTGCCTCCATAATTTCCAGAACGCCACTCTGATTGTCAAGATGGCCATAGAGACTTGGTGGCATTCTGGAAAACATAGTGAAACTTTTAGGCATAAATCAGTCGGCCAAAGTCCAAAGTCAACTATTGCGAGCGACACGGAGAGTTTTCATTGAAATGGATAAAACAAAAGTACATCCCCGGCCCACTTCCTCTCCAATTAAAATGATGCCACAAAAATGTGGTCCCCACCTCTTTCTCATATATGAGAGATAGTGACTTGGCATCCGACCTGGCAATTTGTTGTATTTGTGGCATACAAATCATCTTTAACACTTTTTCCTTTAAAAGAATATTATTTAAAATTAATTTATTAATATAATACATTATAATAATTATATTGATGGCGAATCTCGACTAATACTAAAAGTCCACACCACACGCCCCTTTTTCCATCCATCACCCATCAATGAAGCCACGCCTGCACCCTTCTCTCTCTTATTAACCATCATCACATGCCTCATGTCGGTATATACAACTCCATGGACCCCACAACCCGGCCTTTTTAACACGTGTCAATACAGTCCCTCCACCTCATCATACGCCACGTGGAATTTTCCGATTGTTGGACCACATGAAAAAAGTGTATTATTGGGAAAAATGTGAGCATTTTTTTTCTCTCTCCTCCCCGACATATCAGGTCTTAGAGTGTCGGGCTTTTCTGGTCTTCCAACCCTGCAAATGGGGGCAACCGGTTCTCAACATTGTCCCCTATCAACGGCCCAGATCAGCTGTTACATCTAATCGAATCTGGACCGTCTAACACATGCGGGGGCCGTAGGTCAATGTTCCTCTTTAGAGTCAAAAAAGGACCATCACGCGTGCGTTTGGGCAACATCGCACGTGAGGTTGCGTGGTGAAGTGTAGAAATCAGAGAGGCTTTATTTGATTGATGGGTGGGTCTGTAATTTGGGTCACTCAGTGTGTGTCAGATGGTCGACCAGCTATGCCTTTTTTTTTTTTTTTTTCATTAATCAAGTTTATTGTTATTAGGATGAGAATGGACCAAAGCGGAGCGGAGGTATAGTCTTCATCCCCATATTTGCTTAAAAAATCTTCATCTATTCTCGGTCCATTTCCACTAATGGATATAATTTTCATCTTCATCCTCATTCGAGGGTAAATTTATAATTCTCATCTCCGTCTCCACTTCTCCCGTACCAGCCCAATAGTTTTTTTTTTTTTTTTGCTATCATCCCCATTCCCGTACCCGCGGTTATAAGAAATAGCTTCTTTTTTTTTTTCTTATGATCGGAATAAAACACGTAACAATATAAAAAATGTGACAAATGATGACTATAACTGAAGGGGGAAAAGATCGATAGTATTGGTTGTGCCAACCACTGAGAAATCAANATAAAAAATGTGACAAATGATGACTATAACTGAAGGGGGAAAAGATCGATAGTATTGATTATGCCGACCACTGAGAAATCAATTTTGAAAGTAAACACAATTAAAATAATATATGGCAAGAATCAGCCCACAAGGAATCATGCAGCACTATCAGAACTTGAACTCAGATAGAGAAGTCCGAGAAACAGGATAGAGAACCTGAAATATTTTGTACTATAGATCTTGCACTTTACTAAGTTGCTTTATCTATTATCA